CACAGAGGTCTGGGGGCTGAACTCCTGACCAAGCTGACCAAACAGGTATTCCATGCCTTTTAGTTCAATTATTGGCTAGGCCATGGTGGCAAACTCTTCTAGAAGCTGGGCTTTGAGATTAATTGCTCTTCTAGCCTCCCTTCCTACCCCTCTGGCAGCAACTTGAAGCCTACAAGAGCCAGATTTGCAGTCGTGAATGCTCTCATCCCACCACCTGCTTGCACTCCCTGACCTTCTGACAGGTTTGCAGATGTTCCTGGAAAGAGGTGCCAGATTGATTCCTGAGGGATTGTTCTTGCAGTAAACTCTGATCCAGGCCCCCAGGAGAAACAAAAATCTTCACAGGGAGGATGGGAGAAGCTCAGGTGGTTTAGGCCTAAGCAAAGGAAACCCTTGAAGGGAAACATTCTCAAAGATTACTTAAAATAGTGGATTTGCAGAAAATCTTATCACCACTAAAAACACACTCAGAGGAAATAGTCACTCTCCTGAGTGGTATTACAGAGCAAACACTGTAAGTTAAACCTCTGAGTTGAGTGTGTCTTGTATTACATGACAAAGAATGACTGAAAGCAAGTCAGAGGGCCTTGAAAAACCTAATGGACCTCAAGAAGAGCATATGGTGTTCTGTTACTGGATAAACACCAGTTGTCCTTTTGGGCAGAGCATCATCAAGAATTATACCTGATCCTTCAGGTATACACAAGCAATAGCCCATGCTTGAGAAGTGAGAGGCTTCCAAATTTGCAGAGTTTGTCCAGTACTTTTAGCAGTACCAAGTGAAAAAGATAAATTTGGCACTTACTGGAGTCTGAGTTTATACCCATTTTAAGGACCATAGTCCATAGCACCAGTAATGGAAGGGGAGGTGACTACCCACACTGATTGCAGTTATCCCTAATTTAGGACTGCAAATCCATGTCTCTTTTTGTAGAATAATGCATGTGTTTTATCTCATTAAACCCTGTCACTGTCGTGCCCATAAAATGGTTGTAATAACTCCCTTATAATGAATGCCCTTTGAGCCAGTTTGATGGTATGAGTGCTTGGAACCACACCTGCAGCCACTGCCAGTGAGCTATGGACCAGGTATGTTCTACTATTCCTGCTTCACTGTTGTATAGACTTGTCAGGGCTTAATCCCTGATAAGAAAGCTGTGTAAACTCCAGAAGAGGGGCTTGCTGAGGCACAGCACCTCTACAGAGACCGAGCTGTGTGCCAGGATGTTTGCCCCAAGCAGCGCCGCGGTGCAGCCGCAGCCCCGGGCCTCCTCTGTCCCTGCCCGCACAGCACAGCCGTGGGCAGGAAGTGTGCCACCACCCCTTCCTCCCACAGGGAGCAGATGCAGCAGCTCGAGGTGCCTGACACAAAAAGAAATAAAGGCTCAGATGCACACTGTCTTGAGAAAATAAAATCAGACACGGTGCAGCTGGTTACTGGCTGTTATTTGGTAAGCCTTAGCTGCAGTTTCTGGCCTCTAACCCTGTAGATGTATAGACACGCTTCATGCTTTGTGAGTCATCCTAACAACATTGCTGTTATCACATTATAATGATGTTGGGCTGGTCCTGTGAGATGATATTATTATCCAGTATTGAGAGCTAAGTTTCAGATGAAAAAGCAGCTCAATACTCACCAGTGTTACCCATAACAGTAATTAGTCAGTACTTGCACTTATTAGTCTTGAGGGAAGCTGAAATGATCTTCACATCTAGGGCAGAGCATGTACTTCCACCAAGGCCAGTACAACTTGTATCACTACTTGAGTCTAGTTCTATGAAATTCTTATCTCAGAATTCCTTCTAAACCTAAACAACGTCCCTTCATCAGTGCTTGCACTTTTGCTAAGCAGAAAACAAAGTGTTTTAAACAAAGATTACAAAACTATAAAATGAACACAAATGGCATGATGAGCTAGTATGTTATTTAGATAACACCTCTGACTCTATGAATCTTGTCTGTCAGAAAGCTCTATGGTTTCCCTATGGAAAAAGACTGCTATCCTATGAATTCCCATGAAAATGGAGTGTCTAGGAAGTAAATAGATTTATGGACACAGGCTCTGAACTTTTCTTAGACCACAGCTCTTTATCTCAGCGCACGTAGCATGAGGTGACATTGGCAATGGGATAACTCATGGAACTACAGCCTTCACTGTGCTGCTCTGGTGTTTTTCTTCTCAAGTCACTCCTGCTTGCATTTCTTTTTCCCTGAAAAATGTAAAAGAATTCATAGATCAAAAAAACAGGAGCTGACACAAAGACAGAAGTACTGGATCTAAGGAATGATTGATTTCAGGGATTGGGTTAAGGACTCTTTACTTGGTGGGAAGTAAGAATTTCAGAGTCTGCAACCATACCTCTTTTAAGATATGAACTTCTCAAACTTGACACACTTCTTAATATTAGAGTTGGCCAGTCTTTAGTCAGAAGAAGTCCATTTATATCTGCATCTTAGAGATGGGAAATAGATTTAGTCATTCAGATGGGACTTTATCTCAATGTCAGCAGCAAATCAAAGCATTGCTGGTGTTATGAAGCACTGTGCTGCTAGAACCAGCTTTGTCATTGAAATACCACCCATTAGTACTCCTGTGCCTTGGCAGATGAATTATGAACTGATGGAATTTGAATAACTGTCTGGCCCTTCTGCAAGAAAAGGTAATATTGTTCCTGCTTAGTATTGCCTCGGGCTTTTGTGCCAAAACATCACAGCAGAATTCAGTGTTGACTGGTAACTAACAGTGAATTTAAAGTGCTGGCACAGCCATCCTGCCCAGCTTCCAGGCCTAGGTGCCCAAAGCATGTAAGAAGCAATCCACAAGAGATGGCACAAAGCTGAAGGATGGAGACTTTTTTAAATCCCTGTTTGTTTAGGACAGGAGGCAAAATGTGTTTGCAGAGAGGCTGCTGCAGGTGTAGAAGGCTCTGCTCCAGCGGGCATTCTGAAAGATCAATTACCTACACCAAAGCTGTTCTGCTGCCTTTGCTATCTGCTTGCTTATTACACACAAAGTGAATTAAAAAGAGCAGGGTTCTGTGTTCAATGCCCTCTTCAAGTGAGCAATCTAACCCTTACAACCAGACATCCTTAAGCTGATCAGATGATGGGACAACATGAAATGCTTTTGGCTCTAAAAGGACACTTGGCTAATAATACTATGCTCAATTGAGAAAGCAAGTGAACTCATGTAAATATGATGCTATAAATGATGTAGGTTGCATTTCTTTTTGAGTTACCGAGAATTAATGGATTGATAGGTAAAACATCTGATATTGTTACTGAATTTATCAGAATAAATGTTACTCTGCAATATTTTGCTCCTGCCTGTGAAGAATTAAAATGCAAACACATGATGCTAGGAGCATGTTATGACAGTGATATTATAAATGTTTGTACAGTTGGCACCAATATTTGATGCCACTTGTAAAAACAGCACCTTAATATAATACATTATTACCATACCTTACTGTAAGTGGTGATGTGCCTTTATCCACTGGTACAGAACACGTACATTACTAATTATTCACCCTTTTCCACCCTCTTCCCATGGATGGGCTTGCAAAGACAGTATTAAAAATAGACACAGGGATAACACTCATGTGATAAACTATACAGTCGTGGTTGAAGTGTATAGATGTGTTAATTTCTCATTTACCAAAAACATCACTTATTTTCATGGATCCATTTCAGCAGATGCTTTTTCTTCTCATCATCTACCAGATGATAGACAAAAGCAATAGACATTAATGCAATACCATGCAATAGACAAATATTTCTCTTTGCTCTCAAAAAAGATTCACAAGGCCCCATAACTGATATGATGTGATCTTGAATTTAGACTGTCTTTGGTTCTATCAGTATCATGTTTTCTGAAGTGTGTTACCTTGTAATCCTGTAGAGATGGGAAATGTATTTTATTATAAAGAAATCTTCCATCTATTAAATCAAAAGTAATACTTGCAGAATAACGCAAACACAGAATCAATTAGGTTGGAAAAGACCTCCAAGACTGAGACCAACTTTCACTAATCCCAACCTTGTCAACCAGACCGTGGCACTAAGTGCCACACTTGTTTGTACTGTTTTACTCAACACCTCCGTGGGTGGTGAATCCGCCACCTCCCTGGGCAGCCCATTCCAATGTTTAACAACCCTTTCTGTGAAGGAATTCCTTCTGATGTCCAGCCTAAACCTTCCCTGGCACAGCTTGAGGCCATTTCCTCTCATCCTGTCACACCTGGCACAACCTGCTTTCTGGGAGCTGTAGAGAGTGATAAGGTCACCCCTGAGCCTCCTCCTCTCCAGCCTCTCCATTAAGAGATGGACTAGGAAACTTTGAAGACTTGATCCATTGAAATGACGACATCCTTCAGCACAGAAAACCTATTAATCATGCTGTTAATGCCAGACTATGTGCACTCTGAATCCCAAAGCATATGAATAAAACTAAGCCCCATAACTTTGTGGCTGTCAGGTTCAATATAAACTCAGGGGATGTTAAAATAGAAACCCCAGCAATCATTGTAAAATGGTTCTTCATGCGTTCCTGCGCGTGTGGCGCATACGAGATCATGTGGGAGGCGATCTGACGGCACCCATTGAGAACAACCTGCACGGTGCTATCCATTACGGTCTCGCTCCTCCTCATTACCGCAGCCAGCCTCGAACCGGCGCTGCCCTCCTGGCAGCTCTCCCGCTGTGGAGCGCTGTTCTCTGTGCCAGGCAGGGCCAGTTCTCGCTGCCTCGGCATCCCCCGGCCTGTGTCACGGCCGGCCGCCGGACGGGGGGGACGGACGGAGAGAAGGGAGGCTGGAGGAACGGGAGGCCGAAGGGACGGGGGGCCGGAGCCCCTCAGCCTGGCACGCCCGGCCCGGGCGGAGCCTCAGGGCCGCTCCCGCCCCGCCCCCAGCGCCGGCGGCCCTCGCGCGGCCCGATTGGCGGTTAGCGCTGCCAATCACGCCGCGGGGCGGGGCGGGGCTCGCGGCGGCCCCTTGGCGCTGAGGGGGCGCGCGGCTCCGGCCTCTGCCCGGGCCGATCCTGCCCCGGCGGCGCCTTTGCCGGCGGCCGCCCCGCTCCTTGTCGCTCTCTCCTGCCTCCCGCCGCGAGCAGCCGGGGCTTCCTCCATGCGGGAGAAGAGGAGGAGGAGGAGGAGGTGGGAGCTGCTCGCCGGCCATCCCCGGCGCCCGGCAAGTCGGAGCCGACCCGCCGCCGCGCCGCTCCTGCCGCATCTCCCCGCGGCGCGGAGCCGGCCCTGAGCTCTGCTCGCCGCGCCGGCCACGGACCCCTCCTCATAGTCTTGCCCCCACCCTCCTCCTAGTCTTCCCAGACCCCTCCTCCTAGTCTTTCTCCTTTTTGTTTGTTGTTGTTTTTTTTTTTTTTTTTTTTTTCCTTTTTAATTCTCCCCCTCCCCCTCTGGTTCTCACCCTGGCTGCGAGCAAAGCGTCTTCATGAGCGCAGAGGATGTCCGGAAAGCACTACAAGGGGCCTGAAGTCAGTTGTTGCATCAAATATTTCATCTTCGGCTTCAATGTCATTTTCTGGGTAAGTGGGGCCGGTTTCGTGTCTTGCTCTCCTTCCTCCTCCTCCTCCCCGGTTGCCGCCGCCGCCGCGGGCTGGGCACGGCCAGGAGCGGCAGGGACGAGTGACAGCCCGGGCTGAGGCCGCGGGGGCGTTTTAGATGGGGCACGGCTGCGGGGCCAGGGCTGCCGCCGCCTCCGACCCGACCGCCCCGGTCAGCCCTTCCCGGGCAAGTTGTGGTGCTGCATTCCTCCACCTCCCCAGGGTGCCGGTTCTCTTCCCTTCCGGCCCTCCTAATTGCTTTTGTTGTTAGTACGGAGCGGATTTCGTGCCTTCTTCCCACCTCGCTGTCTTTTCCTTTCTTCGTGTTCCCCCCTTCCTTCCCCCACCCCTGCTTTGTGGTGGGAGAGGAAGGGAGCAACCAGGCACCCAGGCCTGGAGAACGAATTGATCTGCATGCTTTCACGCTGCCATCCCTGTTCGATGCAAATAATAGAAAGAATCACAGCTCAGGTTTTCTGCACAGTGCTGTTTAATGATTTCACAATGATGAAGTTGTGTATGGCACAGGTTTATTATGATTAGTCGTTACCACATAGTAGTAGCAGCAATAATAGGATGGAGGAGAGGGAAAAGGATATTTCCACCCATACCTAAAGTGCAAGCCCCTAGGAGGCCTGTTTGGGCATTTGTTGGGATTCCTGGCTGCGCTGCTTGATCTGCCTGCACAGTATCTTGTTGCACCATTGCCCACCGGCTGTGGAGTAGGCAGAACTGTACAGTGAAATGTAACCTGCCTGTATCAGTACTTCTAGCATCTTCTCAGTGTGTTGGATTTGAAAGAGAAGCGGCTGTTTTTATGTTCATGCCAAATTTAATAACTAGGGGGGAAGGTGGGCTGAGGTGAGCATTCTCACACACGTGTGAGTGGTGAGGTCTTCTCACTGCACAGAATGTTAAAGTCAGGTGAAGGCTCTTGCATGTACAATTCCCCTTTTTATATGAGGTATTCCACAGAGCAATGAGAAACATGCACAAACCCAGCCTGACAGATTCACAGAACATACTGAGTTGGAAGGACCCATCAGGATCATCCAGTCCAGTTCTGGATCAAACCTAGATATGCTTTTGGATGTGTTGTTGAGGGCCTTTGGAAGCAGGTTGAATCCATATTTGGTATAGTGGCTTGTTTGGACTAGAGAGGAGAATTGGGGAAAAAAGCCCCGACCCCACTTTGAAGGTTATGGATGAAGGTAGGGAGGAACAGAGGAGAGGAACCTTTTGGGCAGTGCTGGGCTTCTGTTTGTCCCTTTGGGGAGAGCAGAGGGCAGTGGTTACATGGATAGCAGGTATCCATAGCTGACCTCCGGTCTGTGTTCCTGGGAAATAAACATATCTGAAGAAGATGTTTTGAAAGGATGGGAGTTTTGATGAAGTCCACTTTTAATGCTGTATTACTTCTCTTAAACAAGAGGGTTTGCAGCCAGAGTGAAGCTGGCTGTGGCTTTATGGCAGCGTTTACTTGGCCCCGGACCGACCCCGGCAGATGAACGGTAGCGAGCTTTGTGGTATTTTTACCCTACAGAGCTGATGTGGTTGTACTCTTGGCTCAGGTTTCGGTGGTTGAGTTTGCCATGGTTCTTTGCCCTTGTCTGTTTCTTTGTTTTGGTTTTGCTGGGCATATGTTGCTGTGAGCACGGATGTTTTTCAGCAGGGAGCAAGTAATGTGAGGAACACTTGGGTGCTGTGTCCTTGGATTGAGAGAGGGAGATTATGGTGGAATATATAGAAGCATGTTAACTTGCTCTTTCAGACACTGTCAGTGTCTCAGAAGCTGTAAATCCTGTAATTTCCTTCATTGTGTTCTCTGAAGGTGGATGTTTGGATGGTGGAAGTGGGGAAGTGGTTATGTTTGAGGCTTTCTGTAACCAGTGATTTCCTTACTCCTGTGTTCCTGAGGCCGATGCAGTGTAGCTTCTGCATGATGGCAAGTGTGCCTGTGTTGTGTACTGAATGGGCCAAAGGCTTTCTACTGCTGGAATGCTGATCTGAGAGCCTGAAAAAATAGAATTGTGTATCACCCACTCTGCCAGTTGCTTGATGTGACGCCCTTGCTTGCAGATTTCCTCTTCTGCAAAACGCTAATTGTCTCATTTGTGTTCCTGGCAAAACTTCTTGAAATTCATGAAGACCAAGCACTTTGAGAGTTTAGTCATTTCTTTAGAATATTGTAATCTCTTTATGAGAAAGCCTGCATTTATTACAACATCTCTCGTGATTTGGAGTGAAAGCATAGGCAGATACTCTTGTTGAATATATGTTAATATTATTTTTACTGAAGTAATAGCAAACTCCTCAATAACTGGGCCAGAAAAGCTGTAAATGAAAACTGCAAATTCAGTTGGCTGTTTACAGAAAGTGATAATCAAAAATAGCCACTAACGTAGCCATTGTAAATAGACTGAAATGGTGAAGAGATCATCATCCTAACCCCTGACACTTTCCAGGGTCTTGCAAACAGGGAGCACACCTTGTTAGGCCTTCTATTTGAGTGTTATTATATAGTGGTTTTAACACAACCTTTAAAAATGTTAATGTAAACAAAGAAAATACCTATGTTCTGCATCATAAAAACAATGGACTAAAAATAAAGAGAAGTGAGTTGGAAGAGTAATGATTTTGACAAGAAAATTGTCAGTGCTTTGAATAGCAGAATATTATAGATCTGCTGAAATTATGCGGGGAATGATTGTACTTGCTACTTAAACTGAAGTTATTACAAAGATCTGAGGCTTTAAATACCACAGGGGCAAAATAAATGGCCAGACCCTTTTGTCTCTTTTCTTTTGTGTTGGCCAGGTATTTAATGCTTTAAAAACCACATCAGAATTATGAGGATAATAAATATGGAAAAATTGCACTCCAATGCCGTGTGTGTAGTTGTGACTAAAGGTGACAGGAGGTAGTTCTCAGGCTTGCACCAGCCCAGGTGACATAGTCTTGCCTAAATATGTGTTTCATACTGTCGTAGAAGACAATATTATCTGCTGAATCTATGCATAATTAATGTTCTAGATATATTTATAGGCTTCATTTCTTGTGGCAATTCAGTGTTAAAGTTGGTAAATACTCTGGCAATGTTTGTTCAGAGGAACTTATTTTATGAGACTGCTGTGCTGGTGAGGAAAAGGAAAGCTCACTGGGCTGTCACCGCAGTAATATTTAGGGACAAAGAGCTGCCAGGCACAGATGCACCCACATCTGAAGCTGGAAGGCGGTGCCGTGTTTCCTTTGCCGTGCTGCCGGTAGAACACACACACACACACGCACGTACACACGCACACATATACACATGCACACACGCGCATGCACGCACACACATACACACACGCACACACACATGCACACATACACACACACTCACACACACGCGCACACACATACACACACGCACGCACACGCACACATATACGCACGCTCACACACACACGCACACATATACACACACGCACACATATACACACGCTCACACACACACACGCACACATATACACACACACGCACGTGCGCACACACACACGCACACACAGATGCACACACACACACACACACACATGTGCTCTGGCTCCACTGCCCTGCTAAAGCACCACGTGCTCCATGTGCCACCTTTCCCGGCTGGCAGCTGCTTCCTCAGGAGCCTTTCTGCTCTTGCCTCGGTAGAGCATAAAGCTGTAGTATGAGGTGACAGAAACCTTTCCTGTCCTCAAAGCCGGCAAACAAACAATGCCTCCTTCCCCCTTCGGCTTCCACGCAGAATGATAACAAAGGTACGGTGCAAAGGGTCAAAGTAGGCCACCCTGCTTCACAAAAGGCAAGAAGTAGTTCCCTCTCTTTCCCCCTTACTTTGGGCAGACAGTTTTAGGCCGACTTTTAGTTCCAAGAGATGTTTTTAGTTGTTCTCTCTGCTTTGTTATACTTGATGGAAACCATGGGATGTATACTATTGTTAACTTTCAATCCACACTTGATTCCACTGACCCTGCTCTAATTGAAAGATGTATAAAAAGCACTGACACCTCAGAAACTTTTACTTTAGCTGGTGATTCACTCAAGTTTGAGCTATGCTGCAATTATGATGCATCAGCATATTACGAATCATAACTTGTGTTTTAATTTGCTTGGCATCTGCTGTATTTGATGGCAACCATATGGGAATCTAGATAGTCTTCTGAATCACAGAAAGGTAGCAGAAAGAAAATAAGGTTATGTAAGTGTGTTACAGGAAAAATATTGGACAAGTGCACTGACCTTTAAAGGACAACCGATAGATTGCTTATTAAATTCTGTACATTGTTGGTAGTTTGTTTTTCAAAGGGAGAGAGGATAATTCTCTGATGTCAGCTGGTTTTCAGATATGCACAAGGAAGTTTTGATTTTATAATTTTTCCCTTGCCACAGTGTTTAAAAAAAACTCCAAACAAATCAATGTGAAGCTTGTTCCATGCAATTTTGAAATGCATTCTGTAGCATTTGATCTTTAAAAATTTGCATTGGGAGGATGTCCTTGCAGTGGAAGTGGAAGCATTGTGTTCATTTCCCTCCCCTCCCCCTTTTACGATCAAATGACTTTTTTATTTTACATTTCTTCATAGCACAGATGAAGCATAGCTAAGCATTCCACCAGTGGTCTTGCCAGAAACAGAAAAATTCTTGTTTTGGGCAAATACTCCACTGGTTTGTAACAGTGAAAGGCGGGGGTGTATATATTGATGAAATAGATGCATTATTGTGAGGTTGGCGTTCTTGAATTCCTCAGTGTCTCTTTCAGCAGATGCAGCCTCAGTCTTTCAAATGCATATGAAAATGTAGTAACTGCTGTCTTTGGGGGACTTGCTTCAGATCTGTAGAGGTCATTTGTAGAATAAAAATTTTCCTTGCCTTGTGTTCCCTCATAACTTTGTGGTAGGCTGTATCATTGGTAATATAAAAAGAAATAGCTGAGCAACTTGGGAGAAACTATGCCT